GATATATATATATATATATAATATAAAATTATATAATATATAATATGGAGTATTATTATATATACCATATATAAATATATATGTTATATATTTATATTATATACATAATATATATTATATGTAATTGTATAATATATATAATATATAGTCACCACTGATCGCTCTCCAGAGGGCTTCGATTGTCCTTGAGTGAGTAGAATGCGTCCAAAACTGTAGCCTTTTTACGCAATTCATCATGTGCATTGAGCATAGCCTCTGTTTCGGACTGAAGCTGGTCCTCGTCGCTAGCATCGACTTCATTTGAAAAAAAATTTTAAGAAAATTCTTGCTTATAACATCTACATCTTATACACTTACTATGAGCTACCCTTACACGCTTTCTACAAATAGGCCGCGCATAGAACTCGTAAGGAGATTGCGTCTGTGAGCCCTCAATGTTGATTAAGTACTCCTGACTAATCGTTCGGTACCTAAACAGTCACGCACGTTTCCAACAGATGACACCACATCATCTGCTGTAAATGAACTTCTCAAAAACTGAGTGGGGAGTTAGGAAAAATCACCCGTTATTGTCCAACCAATCTACTTCAAGCGGTGGTATCCGCGCTTTCTGAGGTGTCCAATCTCGCCACTCCATCATTTTATCATTTATTGATGCCTGGTCATTTGCGATGGACACTCGCTTCCAATTAGCTGGAAAATCCCTCTGAAAAGGGGGAATTTGCCCCAATTGTGGAGCGATAGCCTGCTCTTCGAGATTCAAAGCTGGCGTGAACTCTGCTGCGTTGAACACTCGACGAATTCGAAGATGGCCCCTGAGTTTCGCTGAGAAGAGCGCAGCAATAGATACACCAACTTCAGAGGATGTGTTTGCGTGGCCATCCGGGATTCCATACAGCTCTACCTGTATAAATGATCAAAACTTGAATAGCAGAAGCTAGGCTATATCTAATAAATTCGAACTTATTATAAACTCCTTTAAGGATCATTCTAAAACTTAACAAAAATATGCAAAAGTGACCTGTACAGCTTTCCTATAATCATTGTGGACAAGAGAAGACTTCACGGTGCGCGTTTTCACTAAAGGGAATGCGCTCAAAATTTGACGAAATATCGCACACTCCTCCTTATGCCAAGCCAACATCGGCTAAAGAAAAAACAATAACGTTGAAAATACTTTGATGTAATTAGATCACCTGTCCATTTCGTCGTAAAGGCTGTCGCATATCAATGCCGCACAAAGACACTTTGATAGCTTGCCATGGATGGTAGGCCAGATCCGTTGGCATACGGGCTAAACACTGGAAAACGAGAAAATATTTAATTTTTCTCTGAAAAAAGGCAGTTGTGTTGACCCACTTCTTTAGCTACCCATGCCGTAATTCCTTCATCAATGAAAATAATTTTCACCACAGTGTCTTCCACCTTAACAAAGCAAGAAAGGTTATACAAATAAGTCATAAACTCGTGTCATTCTTTTATTGTGCAACGTTGTGATAATGATCGACTATCGGTCAACGTTTCAGATCAATCTCTTTCTCGTAACACTGGCATCACGCGAGAGGCATCAATTTACTGAGCGGACTGAGCGAGTAATGAGGAGTACGCTCTACTGCGCGACGGGGTTATGCTACAGTCTAAATAGTGGAGCGCTATTCTATACTACCAGGCAAAATTTCAAAATTTCAGATCTTGCTCAAACTTTGTACAAGGAAGTAGTTGAGATGCTGGTCACAATTCATATCCATTCCCTATGGTAGCGTTTTACCGTAGGATAGGATTACGGTAGGTAGACGGTGATGAGAAAAAATACAGATTGATCTGAAACATGGGCATTGTTTGACAAGCTGATCACACATGTCCATTTCGAGCGATAGGGCTTCTTGCATAATTACAATAGGTGTATGGTAGCAGGCATCATAAAATTGCCTAAAACTCCACCTAGAAGTTTTCCATCTGACATGAAACTAGAATGTGGCATTTTTGAACGATTTGATGGCACAAGTCATAGCGATTGCAAGGATCGATTCTCTCATTAAAGGAAAAAA